GAGAGAGAGAGAGAGAGAGAATAGGAGTCATGTTTTCACGCCTCCCCGCCCTTCTCCAGGTGACAGACCTGTCCCAGAAGGTGGCTGAGCTGCAGGGCCAGCTGGACTGGGGGGAGCGGGAAAGGAGCTCTCTGTCAGCGCAGCTGGAGGAGGCACTGAAGAAGCTCGGTTCCCAGGAGGAGGAGAGCAGCAAGGTGGGCCAGCGAGTCCGTCGTACAAACGGGCCGGGACCCCGACCCGACTTCAAAGCTCCGAAGTCGCTAGTGGCTCAGAGACAGTGCAGAGACAGTGGCCTGATGCTAAATGGTAGGTGACTGTAAAGGCCTGGGTACAAGTCACTAACTCATTGGTTGAGTTCACATACTCCGCATTATATGCAGCTAATGGACTTGCATGGCCTTCACTCACCTCTGGGTGGCGCCAGTCTCCTGTAGACCTCTCCATTTAAGCGGATTGAAGACCAACGATGATGCGACCACAAGATTTCAGGATACACATACAGGAGATATATTGCTTTTATTCTTCATTTCTTGACAGAAAAAAACTTTTTCACTGGAAATAGTGATCATTTAATAAATCACTAAGTACTGGTTTTGTGAGCACGAGCTCACCCTAGTCCTCCTGCGTGTATGAGTATGGTCTTTGGGTATCGAGGTGACTTGGACCTAATCTCCCAGGATACTTTGCTCTGTGCAGGTGTGCGCAGATCTGCGGCTGCAAGTGACCCAGTGCCAGCTGCGCAGGGAGGAGGCAGAGAGGGCCCTGCAGGAGCACAGCACTCGCAGCAGCAGGCAGCTGGAGCTGGCCGCTCAGGTGAGGGAGGGGCCACCGCCGCCATCTTCTGCCCGCGATGCTGACGGGGTCTCGCACTCCCCCTGCGCCGGTCTCCCGGGGTCTCGCACTCCCCCTGCGCCGGTCTCCCGGGGTCTCGCACTCCCCCTGCGCCGGTCTCCCGGGCCCCCGCACCTGCCACTGTGCGATGTCACTCTTCAGTCAGTTACTGCAAACCTCATGCCCTATCTGTGGTCCAGGTAACTTCAGTCTGATCAGATTTGCTCGTGATATTATTGCTACCTACCTCTCTTCCTAAATGTTGAGTTGGGCTTACTGTAAAAGTTAACTAGTTAAATTTAATTAAGAATTAATTACGACGTAACCCTACCTGTTTCTTAGTAAAGGAGGTGATTTATGAAATCGTTTGATTTACTTTCAATTATTAACAAACGTAGTGTGCTTACTTTCCCACTAGATGGCACCAGAGGCACACTCAACAGGGTATCCTGAAAATTGTGCCTTGAGTATGCACTATAAAGCTGGAATTTTTAATGCAAACAATTACATTAATATTCGCAGCGTTTAAGGGTCATATTTTAAAATGCTAGTTGTATCTTTTAAGGTATGACAAGTCCTGGTGTGAACATGACCTTGTGACCTGTGTGGAAAATGCAAATGTGGAAGGATTATCGACCATTTGTCTAAAGTCAGATTCTTGGCCGCATGGTCATACCTGATATTTTGCACTCATAATTAAAATGGAGATTTTTATTCTACGTCGGCTTACACAGATAAATAAGTTTCACTGAAGTTTCTTCGTGCCGTTATAAATAACGTGTTCCGTTATTTAGTGCGGATTGTGCGGCGCGGTCTTGAGTGCGGGGTTGGCGTTTCCGCGCCACCATCGCAGGAATGTCGGGAGGGAATGCTGCCGACTGCTCCCCGCGCCGGCATCCTGCTAACGGGCACCGTCCCGGTGCCTCCTTCCCCGGGACAGGAAGCCGCGAAGCTGGCGGCGGAGCTGAGTGGCTGCGGGCAGCGCCTGGAGGCGGCTCAGCGGGCGGCAGGCGTGGCCAGGGCGGAGGCGCTGGGCCTGACGGAGCGACTGGGCCGCGTGCAGCACCAACTGCACCTCACTAGGTAACCTCTAATCCTATTACATGCCACGGCGCCGCCCGTTCCGTCGGCCCTCTTATTAAATGCGGGGGGACCAGCTGCCACGGTGGCCCCCCCTCCCCCGGCATGGCCCCAAACACCCCCATCCTGTCGGTCCCCTGCCTGCGCACCAGAGCAACGGGCTTGCCTGTGCTTCCTCTGGACGGGTGTTTGGGGCCGGCGTGGATTCGGGGGTTCACCAGGGCCGCTGGTACAAGGATCCCCGGGCCGGCTCAGTCTGCGCTGTCACTTTATATATAAAATGCACTTTTTAAAAATGTAATCTGTGTCTGCTTGCATAATTTCAGTGTTGCTTGTACTGGTTTTGATTTAAAACTCGTAAAAGTGTGCGGAGGCTGTGGGTGAGAGCCCCGATGCTGGGAAAGGTCACTGGAGCGTTCAAGGAGCCCGGGTGTCATGGGCAGAGAAGCGGAAACGTCGGCGCCGCACTGGGATACTCGCATAGTGGCCCTAATGCGGTTACGTAACGAGGCAAATTGCTTTATTGAAGTCTGGAAGGCTTTGCCGTTCGTCGAGATTTCTGGGAGAAAAATAAAAACCGTTTCTGCTGCCAGTGAATTGGACCTGGGGTCGAAAATGGTATTATTCATGATAAATAAATTTAAAAAAAAAAACAAAAAAAAAAAAACAGCGGCTTTAGCGCCCATGTGGTGATGCATCACTGTCTGCTGGACGTGGAGTCCTCATGCGATGTAGAGCCAAGAGACACTAACAGCACACAGATGAGTGTTTAGGTAAGAATGTTATACGACTGGTGTGGAATGACACTAGACGCCATCGCGGTGGAGAGACTGGGAGTGGGGCGGCTCCCCGTATCCATCAGGCGGGGCTTTCAGCAAGTGTCCACACAGTGCTGTTGATAGGGCTTCCCAGGTAAATCCTGCAGCAGGTGCCCTTAAACCATAGGGCCGCGATGTACGCCTCTCCAGATCTGGGTCGGTGTTTGGTATATGGCCGACTTCCGGTCCGCTTCGAATCACAGGCTGGCTTCCCCGGAGGGGAAACGCGCCAAATGTAAGAGAGGCGCGTGGGGTTCACCTGTGGGGGACATTCCGTCCCCCCTGATGCTGGTGCAGAGGGAGTCCTGCTCTTTAACATCATGAGAGTGGGCGGACTCTGATCCCCCAGGTCAGACTCTGCAGACAACTTGTTTTTAAATTCCACTGAACGTGTTACTTATGACTCATTTAACAACTTTGCAGTTACAGAATCCTGCTTTTTTTTTTTTTTTCTCTTTTTTTTTTTTTGGCAAGTGGTCACTGAAGAGAGGCATATGAACCTCGTTCTGTGAGGGCCATGTTTGTTTTTCCGAGTGGCAGCGATCGCTCGAACGCCGAGCTCTCGTACTCTGCGGGTCGACCGACGCTCCAATTCAGCTGGAGGGAGATCAGTTGTTTTCTCTCTGTTTTCAGTCAGATATCCTGCCCATGTTATGCCGTGTTGTGTTTGAATTGAGTTTGTGTACATCAACCCTGTCTTTCATGTGACTTGGGCTGAATGAGTAATATGGCCCTAATATGTCTTTCCATTCAAACCAGTTTTGATCCAGCTTGCTCATTTTATTTTATGTATTTTTTTTTGTAAATAGACAAGGCCTTTGAGAGGTAATTTTAAAAACGAGCTTGTTTGTGTGTAGAGTAGGTATTTTGTGGAGGCGGGTCCCTCCGGAGCTGAAATTCGGTCTCACGGTGACGATGGCATCTTCAGTATTTCCCTATTTCCCCGCTAGCCGGTGTGAGATGTGGCCCACGGGTCACACGCAAGGCGAGGGGCTCGGCACACTGACCCCGGCGCAATTGTGACGCCTGGTGCTATGGCCCCATCGCTGATCCGGCAGAGTCCTAAGGACCTGCTGGCTGAGTTGAGGATCCGAGAACCCTAAATCTGGTGGTTGGGGGCGGGTGGGGGCGAGGCTTCCAAAGCCTAGGTGGGTGGGGTTACTGTGTGCCGTCAGTGCCAAGCTCCCATAACCTACTTGCCGTTACTTTACTTTATTAGCTCCCTTTTGGTTAAACCGGGCGGCGGGGTAATCCCACCCACCACTGACCTTACTGCTCCAGCTCTGCCGTCGCTGCCCAAGACCACCCGGCCACTTTCTGCCAAGCCGGCTTTTCCCGTTAAAAAGGCGAGCGTCCGGGGTGGCGGCACCGCAAAGGCCGGAGCCCCCACGTTACCGTGACTGCGGCAGCGCGGGGGGGGCAGCCGCTACCCTGTAATTGGTCCCCGTCTGCTCTCCTTGCGTCGGCTGCCGGTCCACTTGCCATCGACGGACAAGCCGGGTCAGCGACTGGCACGGCCGGCCGGTTCTGTTTGTCGACGTGCGCCGGCGGCCGGTGCGTGGCCAGATGGGGGGGGGGGATGCTCAGGCACAGATGCGGGAGACATCTGTCTGGCCAGACCAGCTGCCCCCGCACAGCCCCTGGGGTCTCTGGCAAATGGAGGTGCAAAGATGGGATGTGGCTGTGAGTTTTCTCTGTGTGTGTGTTTGGAGGTGGGGGGGTGTCATCCATGTTCCATGGTCAGACGACTACAGCGCTCCTTGATTTCGGCTTTTGTGGCTTTTGATGGTGGGGGGTGCAGCCAGTGGCTGAATGATCACAGCCTCCTTAGAAAATGAGGAGTGCAAAGCGGCTGCCTTTGTTTGTTTGATGGGGGTGCTATCGCGCACCCCCGCCCCCGCGTCACATGGCGGCAGTGGGGGGGGCAGGCGGGATCTGTGCTAAGCCCTCCACTCTGTTCGCATCCTTCTGACGCTTTGGAGCCCGGCCTCCGTTCTGTTTGTTTGCTCATGACTCTTCTTCCCTCCCCCACCAGCCCCCACCTAATAGCTGCCACTGGCAGGTCTCCCCCCACCAGGAGCCCCACCCCCCCAAAGGGCACAACAAAACACGGCTCAAAATCAAGCTGTGCGCTCTCGCCACCCCGCCCGCCAGACGGCACCGGCCTCCCTTTCAGCGCTGTCGTTTTGGAAGTGCCCGGCGCGTGAAATCTGCTGCCCGCCTCCCCGCAGTGCTGCCGCCCGGCGCCCGGGCCTGACCCACCCCCACATATCTCTCTGAGGAGACCTCCGAGTGACGCTGGGCCGCTCTGATCCCATCCGACGTGTTTAAAGAGGCTGCGGATGGCAACCGGACCCCCCACCCCTCGACCCGCGCGTCGTTACGCTTTTAATTAAACGGTGTGCTTGTTTAACGACGCCGACGGCTGCGCTTTGCGTGCTCCGCCGTGTGATCTTCTCGTTTCATTCACGGTGTGGCTGCTTGACAGATGAGCAGGAAATGCGACTTGGGATGCCCTTGCATGTAGATTAGCAAATAGTTTTGATTTTTAATATTTATGCACCCTGTTTGTTACACACACACACACACACACACACACACACACACACATTTATGTCCGGGTTTATCAGTAACTGTAATATCTGTACTTGAAATATTTTGCATGTGAATATAGAAGATGGATGGATTTAAAATTGGCCTTCGTTTGTTCAACACTGCTTTTTGTCCATGATGCCTATGTGATAGCTGGTGGTATGTCTGGTCTGGAAGGACCCGAACAGAGGTGCCCTCGGGCTGCCTGTTGCGTGTGACTCAAAGTGACTCCCTGTCATTTAACCTGGATCTGTCTGTCACGGGGGCCTTGGTGACTGTCATCACAGCAGCTTTTGGGTGGAAGGGGACGCAGCTTATCGTCAGGCCGCCGCCGTGCTCCCTACTCTTTGCTGTAGTGCCAACAATGTATGGGTGGGTGTGTTATGTGTATATTACGTTGTGAGGACCAAATGTCCACAGAATGTGATTAAAAACCTGTTATTCTAACGTGAGGACCACCTTTTCCATCCGCCAATGCCAAAAGTCTTTGGATACTTATGGTTAATTTTAGGGCTGGGTAGGATTAGGGTTTTTCCTATAGAAATTGAATGGAGAGTCCCCACAAAGATATACATGTAAATGTGTGTGCGTGTACATTCAAGAATGCTGCATGCAGGTTTCATAGAAACATTCGAATTGGGGCCAGTGCTTCATGCAAGCTGTGGGATAAATTCTGGCCAAAATACGAGACCCACTATCTCCTGGCATCTTAATGTGGCCTCAGAACCACAAACCACTGTCTGAATGTCTCCCGAACAGTCAGATGGGAAGGACCTGTTCTGATAGCCATCAATTAAAAGGCCTTCAATAGACAGCCGTGGAGAACAGCTCTCACGAAGCGCTGGCAATTTAAATAACTGGCTGAGAGAGGCTTTCCCCGTTCTGAAGCGATGCAGCTCATCCAATCGCGCCTTAGTGCATAAATCACGCTGTAATTGCATCGTGGATGCCTGTGGTCTTTAACAAAATGTGGCAAGTCCAGGTACCTCATTTGCAGAATTCTTATTAATATTGAGAGATTCGGACCGATGGCAGTTTTGGGGTCACATGGGTGTGGCCCCCGTGCTTCCGGTTCCGTGATGGGGCGGGCAGAGGGGAACTCGCCCAAATGCCACCACTGCCACTGCGATCGGAAGTTGCGTGTTATATTCAAAGAGTCATTTCGACTCTTTTCCATAAACTTAAGCAGTCTATCTCTTGGCTGTCTGCCTTGTTGGGGGGGGAGGGAATCTGAGAATGAATAAAATAGCGAGCAGATGCCGCAACACGCCAGAGGGAGACATGCACGGAGTGCGAGATCTGTGCGCTACAAAACTGCGGTGAACC